GGACGACGGAGAGAGATTGGTCGAGTCGGTGCAGGAGGGATCGGTGTAGGCGGAGGGAGGCGGCGGTCATAGTACTGTGTCGCCGTCGTGTACGGCGGCGGAATTTGACTATCTTCCCCTTGAGTTGGGCTCCAAAAAGAAATGAACCCTGAGGGGCAAAATTGGAAACTCATATATTTTACAACTTTTAAATATTACTCATATATTTTACAACTTTACAAATTAAATCACACTATTATTTTAAATTCGCAATTTACATTATAAAATAAATTACAAAGTTATAATTCATATACTTAATAAAACTATATAAATAGATACTCATTAAAATTAAAAATTACAATGCACGAATCGAAAAATAAAAATATATTAAAATGAACATAAATAATTATTCGTAAAAGTAAAAAATACTGAGTCTTTTAAGTCTCAGAATTGGTGAATTCCTCCCACTAATGCATTTCAAAATGAAATGTGATAATCTTTATTTCTAATTTTCAGTTTATTACAGCAGTGAGAGGTCATTTTTTAGCCATAACTTTGAAAAATGAGAGAATATTTACAAAGAGTGGTCATTTCGAGTCAAAACATTGAAAAAAAAGTGAGGGTCTTTGTAGTTAATTACCATTTTCGGGTGAGAAACATAGAGAGGGGCGAGAGTCTTTGGCAATGAGAGGTCATTTTCGAGTCAAGACTTTGAGAAATGTGAAAATCTTTGCAGATTGGTCATTTCGGTCAAAACATTGAGGATTGTGAGGTCTTTGCAGTTATATGTCAATTCCGGGTCAGAAACTTAGAGATGGGTGAGAATTATTCACTATAAAAGAAGAGTGATTAGTATATAAGAGTGTGTAGAGAATGTAAAAAACGTAACTAGCCTACCACACCACTTTATATAGAGTTGTGGTGTCTTGCTCTCCAAGTATGCCGGGAGAGTTCACCTTACTGCCCGAGTTGCCTGTCCGTACGATGTACAATGGTGCAGGTGGTCAAGCTTTGTCAGGTGTGCAGACGACCCAATCTCGCAGCGACATGTGGTCCATTCTCACATGGCGTTATCCCCGAGTTAGATGCCTTTTTATCTTGTTCATGAGTCGATGTCCACGTCATCATGTAGAACATACATTAGATAGTACATCTTCTTCTCTAGCTCCCCAGTTGCTCATGAGGTCGATTCGACCTCTGGTCCATCAAGTGATCGAGCTCGACGTGAGCTCATCTCGCGATTGACTTCTCCTTTCGACATGTCTTTTTTGCCCTGGTTATTGCCTTCCGGTCGATATATGGCCACAACTCGAACTGCCTTGTTGATCCATTTTGGTGGCTGGGGTTCACAAATCGGTTGACTCGGTATGGTGGCCCATATAAATATGAATTAAATAAGAAGAAAAATAATTTATGATAAGTTAAGAAAAAAAGATAAATAAAATAGTTTGGTTTATCTTGTAGATGTATATATACGAAATGAAGATTTTTGCCAAATATACTTACAAAACATGCGGTCTGCCATTTAGGCTCGACACATTTTGAATCAATATATAAGTCGATTAATTTTTTTATAGAATAATATTAAATACAAACATAAAATCATAAAATATATTTACATTAAAAATGTATTTTTGTATATATTGTTATTCAAATATATAAATAATTTGTTAAATTGAATTTCGAATAAAATCGAATATATTCGATTATCTTAATCAAGTCCAATAGGAATCACAAATTAAATTTCATAATGAATCGAATATGAATATGAATAGTCGAATATTTTCATAAATCCAAAAGATTAAATTCGATTATGAATCGAATATAAATATAAATAGTCGATTTTCATGAATCAAAATTAAATAGTCGATTATTCGCTTTGCTTTGAATCATTTACAACCTACTTACATAGAGACATGAAACCTACTTTGGACTTATGATACTCGAGGTGCAAGCTGCCTCTATCGACCTGAATTGAGCTCGATTCTTTAAATAAATGCACTAGATTTTGACTCATTAATCAATATTAATGAAATAAATTCGAAAACCTAAAAGCTAAGCTAAAAGTTAAAATGTTACGTAAATATTCTTATTCTTGTAATTCTACGAGTCGAACTCATTACCTAAACGAGCTTTAAAGGAACTCAATCTCTAACTCGTTTAGCAAATAAGGCAAGTTTAGTTTGAGACTTAACGAGTCGAGTCGAGCTCACGAGCGACTAATTTCATTTATCTAAACAAATTCCAAAAGTGGTTTTTTTTAGGGGGGTTAAGGCAAGACCTCCAACCTGTATATAAGAAGGCCCAAAATGGGCAGGAAAATCACAGATCTACAAGTTCAAACAGCAGGCTCTCTAGTAAATTAACATACATTATACTCACAACTGCACACTTAACAATAGATACATTAAAAAGGAAACTCATCAAACCTATTCTCTACAATTTACCAATATATATCTGCA